GTTGCTATTCGAACGAAACTCTTCACTACTGGAACACCATTCTGTGTTGCAGAATTTATAATGCGATTTGATTAAAGTGGAACAATGCGACTACTTAAAATATAAGTGGGCCTCTTCTGAACGTCACGAAAGAAGTGAATCCATCTTGTACCCGTGAAACCCTGTGGGCTAGTTGAGAAGAATTAGGGCCGATCGCTTCTGTACGTAAAGAATGTCCCGGAGGAACTAGAAGACTCCTTTGGATGTGAGTGATCAATTATGCAGCAGTCGTGCAGAGACGTGACATCACCCTTCATTCGACAAATTCACATTCGGCGAGGCAGACATTCTTGTGAAAGGTGACAATTATATGAGTCGCGAGCTGTTTGAGTCGTGATTCACCGGACCCCAGTCTGTGCACAAGTGCAGTGACCTTCCTCTTCGAAATGGGTGCTGAAACTTAGCTTGAGCAAAGGAATTTGCCACACGAACGGGCTAGCAGGCGAACACTGGCCCCAACGCCAATGCCGGGGAGCTAGGTGGCCAAGCGTTCATCACACTAAAATCGAACACGCGGATGATATTTCAGTGATTGGTGATCGGGCAACTTATACCTCAAAGGCAATCATCCTCAATGAAGGAGGAAACTGTTAATTATCATGGATGTGCTGTAGCATAGCGACCGCACTCTTAAAATATCGCAACCCCTGTGCATGCAAGCCCGGTAGTTTATGGGGATCTCTGATGATGGTTTGGAACAAAATCCAAAACGTCAGCTGAAGAAAGTCCTGTTCGAGCGATTGTGTCTACTTTTACTCAACTGCTTCCTGCGACTAGGATTTTTGTTTCTATCGGCAGTGTAGGCTACTTATTACTGAAATATTATGACACTACGATATAATTACTAGACGATAAGGCAGGTGAATAACGATCCATCGTAATGCAGGTGCCTCACGCTAAATTCCAGGGCGGTACCTTTTCCTGTGTCCTGGTCCGAACAGCAATCTGAAACGTAACCCAAACCATAATCTTCCCGAAATTTAGCGCAAGACCAGTGGGGTCCTATTTCAGTGTCTTATCGCCGCCCTTTTCAAGCGGGGCCTTCATCGCATCCCAGTTAAATGAATGAGGACACCGGTAATCCAAACACCGTCGGATAGCAGCAAGACAGGA